AGACATTCCCACCGTGTTGTATGTACTGTTGCACACATTCAGAGACACAGCAAAGGAGAGAAAGGGCCAGACCCAGCAAAAGAGGCACCACTGTTAGGGTAACAATAATTTGGATTATTGGGGAACATTGGATTTGCAGCTGAATACAAGGCATGACCTGTGGCCTAGCAGAGCTGCTGACCACAAGGCAGAATGATAGTTAAGCCAGCCATTTGCTTATGCTAAGTAACCATCTTAACTGTGTTAGCCATTTTCTGAGAAAAAAGCAGCAAGCGAGTCTGCGCGAGTCTGTGCGCTGTGAACCAGCTACAGTAAGGAGTGAGATAAAATACAGGGGCTCAAAAAGGGTGGAAGATGGTACAACTTGAGACAGAAAAACAGACTGGAATGTGGAAAACAACGTGTAATTCGTAACAGAATCCAAGATGAACATATGCAAAAAGGTAAATGGTGACTGGTGAAGAAGCCTCCAGAAGCTTCCAGGTTTTGTTCAAAGTCCACCTATTGACCGAAGAAAAGGAGTCAAGGTCTTAGACATGCGCTCATAGCAAAAAGACATGTAAATGAATGAAATGCATACACAATTCCATGTTAATGAAACAAACAGTAAACAGAGGCGGAACTTGAGGTGGAAGGAGAAATGGGTGGAACCGGAGGTGGAACAAGGCAGGGTAGATGTTAATGAGTATAAACCAAAGTGTATAAATATGGAAGAAAACTATTGTGTGCGGCTGCTCCTCATCTCTTATGGTGAGGGCTCGCCCAAAGCTGTCTCTGTGCCAAATAAAGCTGTTGCAAGCAATGTGGAAAAAAAAAAATTGCTCGCAACAGCAAATGAGTCCTGCTCCCAGCCTTGAGCATATTGGAGGTTGGGAGCACAGATCAGTTGGCCTTTAGTCCCAGCCTCTGGGGAATAGCAGCCACTTCCAGCTGTAGGCACATCAGAGTCACGGGCTCCAATGCAGCCCCACACCTGGGAGTCAAAATCACCTGATCAGTTAATCATGTTTTTAAGTAACATTTACCATTTGCCAGCGGTTAAGGAGTTAAGTCTACCAAAAGGCTCAGTGTTGTCCAGCTGCCACTATAGATACCTTTGCCTAAATTTTGAGAAGTCCCTGGGTGCCTAAATGTGTGCTTCTGGGCCTATCCAGAAAGACCTATGCCTTGGTTGTTTTGGGCAGCCAGCTGCTGGCTCACGCTTCACTCTCTGCCTGCCTTCCCCCACAAACACACTCTGATGGAAGAACATGCCCAGGACTCTGTATTTTATGCAATGAATGGTTAATGTGAACACAGGCATCACTGTGTATATCTGGCACTACTGGGACCTTCTCTCATCCCTGATAGTCCCAACCCAAACTGCCAGTTAAAACATAAACAAAAGACATAAACACTCTGGCTATAACTAAACTCTTACCTTACTGGCTTTACACCAAAACCCCTGCTTATCCTGGGTCCTAGTCCCCTGCCACCTCCCAGCTCCTTACTCGCTGTTCTCAGGCATAGCTGGATCTCAGTCACTTAGTCGCAGCCAACTCTCTACAAAGATCTTCCCCCTTCAGCCTCCAGGTCTAAACTGACCATCCTGAATCAGGCCCTGGGTTTATGTGCCTCATAGGCCCTGTCCCTTTCTGGTAATGTGGCTCCCCCAGCTACTCACAGGTGTTTTCTACTTAGGCTTGTTGGCTTAATTCTAGGGCAGCTTACTGCTGCCGCCTGGCTGTGTAACACTACCTTGTCACCTATGCAGGGCTCTACCCTGTCACACTATTGCAGGGCAGCCAGCCCTGCAAAAGGCACTCATAGCCTATAAATCCCTGGGGAGCTGCTCTTCTGTAACTCCTACTGAGCAGCCTTCCCCACCTGCTCCCTGCTGTTGCTTCTCTCCTAAAGTAACAGGAACCCTAGGCTCCCTGTTACTCGTGCAGATTTTTAAATAGTCAGGCAACAAACACACAGTGTACATTTGTAATAAAACAGGACATAACCTTTATTAAGAATGACAAATACTAAAAACCAGACAAGCTGATCCTATAATTGATGAAGGATAATGCAGTTTGATACCCCAACCCCTTGGCAGGTACAAACAGTTTATCCCTGCACTGGCACTGGCAGTGACATCAGTTCCAGTGGAGACTCAATGCCCAGACAGGCCAAACAGAGGTATCCCAATTCCTTCCCAGATGGATTGTGCTAGAACGACTCAAGATTTAAACTTCTCAGGATCTCCACAGCAGTCCTGCTAAGGCGAGGCTACTCAGGACACATCAACACAGAGTTTCTATCACCCGCTTTCACCACACCCCTTCCCATCTCCAATGCTTTCTGGGATTTGTTAGGTACCTTCATGTACTTCCTGGAATGGGGATTGTTGGTGGGTTTCTCCCTGCAAAGCCTGTGGAATGAACTAAGGTCAAAGCAGACAGAAGATGAATGTGGGAAAATACATTCATGGATAATGTGATTAACTGAATTCCTTATGATATATGGAAGGGAAGAAATAATACCACAGTGCAGTAAAGGAAGTAACATGCCCATCCAGGAAGGATACAGAAACCATGCATACATTGTAGAGAAACAGTAGTGCATGCATGCATGCAAAAAACAAAAATAGAGAAATCTTATTTTAATTGCAGGTGCAGAAATGATTGGCTTATAGCCACGCTTTAGTCACAGATATAGTATCTGACAATTGGTTTGGGGACAACTAGAGAAGAAATAATAATGCAATGGCTGTGTGAACAAACCACCCTGAGTCATTTACTTTAACTGCAAATGGCAGACCAGGTAGTTCAGGACAATCTGACTTGTTGAAAGGTTAGGACAGAACAGTGTGCAGCAAATTCACAGAGTAGTTGGAGGTAGTCTCCTGTTATCATTACCCCTTGGCTGAGAAATCATTAGCATACTGGGGCACTGAAACCACATACCAAACTTTAAAAATTACCCTGTTGCTTGCTTTCATTGCTGCCCATATAATTGCCCAAAAATATCAAGACAACTAATGATTCACCTGCAAAATAAAGTAAACTATATATTAGGGGTAAATCCCAAAAAAGATGCCAAAACCTTAATTCCAACATGCTTCACGAGTGTTCAGAATTGGAATCTCAGTTTCACAGTCTTAGAAGAGTTGAAGCCAATATTCTTGATGCGTTCAACTTTGAGGATGGTGTAAAAATCTGGAAGTGATTTTGTTATTTGGGTCCTCTCAATACTAAATATAAATGAACTTCGTTACAGGCTGGATTGTTTGCTGGTCTTTTCTTACGTCCAAATCTCAAGCATAATGAACATTTATCTTGATTAGCCTCTGATGCATCAAGGCACAGTGATACTTTTTTTTCTTTTAAACTCTTCAAACTATTTTTAAATTTGGGCATTGTTTTACCCCAGTGTACCCTGTGCCGTATTAGAAAACCAAAATGCTAATCCTTATGCTTTACTATGATGTGAATCTGCTTGTTAGAAAAATATGTACCTGCAATTAAAGACTAAAGCCCACTTCTCTTCTGGCCCTTTAAGAAGGGTCAGGTAGCCCTGTTGTGGAAACCCGACTGTAGAACATTTAGATAATGAGGGAGCTTAAAATCCCAGGGAAGAGAGAAAATGGTCTGAAAGAGCAGTTTTCAAGCAGGAGACAAGCTGTGAGCTGAACAAACTTGCTACTAGGGAGGGGCCTAGCTGTGCTGGGGCTAGAGCCAGAGTCCCCTCCTTGTGCCTGGGACAGGGCTGAAGGGTCTTGTTTGTTGATTTGTTTGCCTGCTGTTCAAAGACTGTGCTTTCATTTGGGAGTACTTGCTGCAGAGCTCCTCAGGAAGCAAATCCAGCCTGCAGGAGCCAGCAGGCTAAGTAACCCACTTACATGTATCCAATAGGGCTGTGAGAAGCTTTGTGTGCTGATTTGATTCGGAAGAGATTTGGTGGCCGAATCTCCAATTCCGAATCAAATCAGGGGACCAATAAAAAGGTCCAAATCAATTTGAAGCTCTCTGAATCTTTGGGAAAGATTCGGAGAGCTTTGGAGATTCAGACAGTCCCTGCCTGCTGCAGCACGGAGCTGGAGCCAGACTTGGAGCTGGTAAGTAGGGGGTGGAGGAGGGGGGGCAGGACCATCGGGGGACCCCTGCCAGCCCCCATGCCCTACCTGCTCCCCCAGCCCCCACATGGCTGCCTCTCCCACCCCAGCTTCCACTGCTTTAAAAAAAAGCCCCAACTTGCCAGGCAAGGGGAGGAATCCCTGCTGCCCCCCACTGCAAGGAGGACTCTGCCACAAGCCCCCTGACCCCTACCCACTCCCACCATGACTGCCCCGCCTGCCCCAGCTCCAGCCCTTTAAGAAAAAAAAACCTGAAACCCCCCCCAAGGACTCACCAGGTCCTGCAGCGGCCTTGGGGCTTCTGGGGGCTCATGGAAGGCCCCCCCACATGGCGCGGGGCAGCAGGGGGCAGTGGGGATTACTCCCTGCCAGGTAGGAATGGGTAAGTCCACAGTTTTGGGGGGGGGTGTTTCTTAAAGGGCTGGAGCTGGGGCGGGTGGGTCAGCCATTGTGGGGGCACGGACAGTGTGGGGGGTTCATGGCAGTGCCCCCCCATGCAGCATGGGACAGTGGGGATTGCCCCCTGCCCAGCAGCACCTGGTGAGTCAAAGTTTTTTTTTTATCAAAGTGCTGGGAGCTGGGGTGGGCAGGACAGCCATTGCGGGGCTGGGAGAGTGGCCAGGGATGAGCCCAGGTGATTCAGAGATTTGCCAGCAGCCGAATTTCCAAATCAGATTCAGCCGAATCAATTTGGAATAGTGATTCGAATCACCAAATCGCATCACTGTCCCCCAAATTGGCCAAATCCGAATCTGAAGCGAATACTAGCCACTTTGCACAGGCCTAGTATCCAATATACTCTTAAGTGTAGTATGCAATGGCACTCTTCAGTACCACTTTCAGAGACCACCTCATCAAGGACCTGACCCAAAGCTCAATGAAATCAAGCAAGTTTTTACACTGGGCCAGAAGACTTTGGGAAACAGCACAAGAAAATAAAAGTCTCCAAGAGAAATAAGAGCACAGTCATCCTTGCAACTTTTTAGTCATTCCTGTAAATCAGCCCTAGTGACTGAAGTGGATCTGCATGGGTGAAACAAAAGGCAGTTACATCCTTTGACTTTCAAGTACCCAAGGGTTTGTATCAACAATATCCACAGCAGTTTTTCTGCAAGAAACTACATCTTCTTGTCTGAAGTTTGTGATCAGAAGAATCCTGTGGTGGGCCCCCAAGGATATCAGGGTCTATGCAGATCTTTCATTGCAAGGTAAAAGTGTAAATTATCACTTATTTGAAGCTTTCAAATGTTGCATTGGGTGAGTAAAATTAAATCAATATCCAATACTACATTAACACACCCCTTCTCTCCTGCAGGTACGTTTCAGCAGATCTCCCTGGGTAAAAGACGAGTAGTGATTATTGAGTAAAACTCTCTGGACTATTTACGTGTGTTCCTAGAAATAAACTGTAGCCGTGGAGTATGCAGCAGTACAGCTAAATGCATTAAGAACAATCAGGAGGAAGAATGCATTAAAGGAGAGGGGATGGCAAGCTTCTTATTTGGATACAGGACTCTGTATTTTTAGTTAAAACATGTGTTGATTACTAAGGTAGAGGACTACATCTGATCAAAAAACTATCGTCGTATTTCATTCAAGCTGGGTATGAGATTTGGATTGTCTTCATATGGAGATGGCCCAAGGACTGAAGGAATCAGGCTGATCTTTCGCAATCTAACAAAATGAACAAGAAGTCATATAAGTGATTTTGTTAATGACATGCAGTTAGAAAGAGCTTGTTACAACCATTTCTAACCAGTACCTTCAACATATCATTGCACCTCTCATAGTTAGCCCCTGCTGAATTTACATGGATTAGGCATCAAATGCCTCTATGTATTTTACTGGCCAGGGTGGTCTACAGGAGGTTGGCAAACCTATCAGTGCTGTGCTGATAAGCAGGCAGATGATAGGGATGAAGGGGGCAGGAGGGAGGGGACATGTCATGCCAAGGACCATGGTCCCTGCACTAATGGCCCTACCCTCTGCCCAAGCTCCAAGATGCAAGTTGAATTTCACAGAGCTGCAAGTATGGGGGCCGACTCACCACCATTTCGATACCCCACATCAAGCATACAAATACAAGGCAAAAACTCTCTGAGTGGGATCTCAGGTTTTCTAGTTCACACAAAAGACAGACAATCTGCTCCACCCATATTTCAACAGCTCCTCAGGTGTGCACAGCAACCCCAGTGGTGCTGGAGTAAGTCCTCAGCGTACAGAAAAAGAGGCTAGTGTAGCTGCAGAAGGCATAAAACACAGGTGTGTGGGAAGAAATGAGTGGGAGCAGGTTGTACGAGGGGCAGGACAGGACAGGTAAGGGGAAGACAGGACAGGCCATGAACGGATATGTAATCTGAATAATTAAAATGAAAATCCTTAATGCCACAGACTGGAATGGCTTGCATGGGCTAGACCTGCTGATAGGCATTTTAAATTATTTAAGAATTTAAATTTAAGAATCATTAAAAAACAAGCAGAATGTTTCTATTGCACTTCAATTATGTCCTGGTGAACTATAAAAATTATGGGCCCAAGATGCCAAAAGGAACAGGCAGCAGCTAAACAGAAACTCTCAAAAAGTAAAGCCCCATTACCATCTTGGTAAAGTCATCAGCACAGGCCATTCGAATCCGCTCAGGTGTCAGGGGGCTGTTCAGCGCGAAGGGCCCTGGTAATCCTCTCTCCTTTCGTGCAGAGGCCACTGCATCCCTTAGAGCGAAGAATACAGAGCATCCTAGGAACAACCCTGCCTCACCTACACCCTGACAGAGAACACAGGGGGTCACATAGACATTCTCTATGAACACATTAAAGGAGGAAATGTATTGTCAATACTGGGGGGCTAAATGAAAGCCTTAAAAAATTACTGAGCAAAATGAGGCCTGATTTTGTTCTGTGGAAGTCAATGAGTATTTTCCATTGATTCAACAGAAGCAGAATTAGACCACACTATGTTTTCTGATTGCCTAAGGGATCTAAGCAGGCTGGTTTCAAATGCTAGCTACAGATATTAGGACTCTTTTGACTTCTCTTCAGTACAACAACCACCCCAGGGTGTTGAGGGAGCTAGCTGGGGTTATTGCAGGGCCCCTGGCACGGCTCTATGAGCGATCGTGGTGCTTGGGCCAGGTGCCAGATGATTGGAAGGTAGCAAATGTGGTCCCCATCTTCAAGAAGGGGAAGAGGGAGGACCCGGGTAACTATAGGCCCGTCAGTCTTACCTCAATCCTGGGGAAACTCTTTGAGAAGATCATC